CAGTCACCCACCCGGGAGCCGCACGGCGCCAGCCGCGGGGCCAGGCCCGGGGAGAAGGCAACTTTCGCCTCGTTGCTGGGTTGGCGGCCCCGCAGCCCCCCGCCAAGCGCCGGGGCCGTAATACCGGCCGGAAGACGGTGTAAGTCCTCATCAAAGCCGTCTTCCTCTTCCCATCAAATGCCTCTTCCAGGTCTGAGGGAGGTAGGGCGAGGATGTTGCTCACGGGGACGAGCACTGCTTGCATCCATCGCCACCACTCCTGTTTGTCTTTCAGAGGATACGACGGGAAATCTGATCTTCATGTTGGAATAACCAATAGCAACGGTAAAAAGAACTTTGCTTTACAAACCCCTGCTCCTCTCCCGTACCTTGTAGCTGGACTTCGTGCCCAGTTCAGCTTTTCCCCCCTCCGCCTGAGGCGATCCAAACTGTGCGACAGTTATTTTAGAGCCACCTCTGCCATGGGGACAATGCCTGCTACGTGCTAAAAAAGCAGGCTGCAACATCTAAACAGCTGGTGCTGTGCTGCTGAGGAATGCATGCTTCCTCAGCGTGCTGCAGGTATTGGCACTGGGAGCTTAGCTGCTCACTACAAAAAGAGAGTATCAAGTGAAGATCAAAAACATCTTGAGTCCAAGAATTTATCCCGCCTTGCAGCAGCGAGCACACAGAGCTTCAAATCAAAGCCATGCACCACTTCTCACACGGCACAGAACGGAATGGACAGGTGACTTATATTCCTGATAAGGGAAATAAACAGCTAGGCAGCAGATGACTTTAAAGAAGTTACAGGGAATTTTGACCTAAACACAGCTTTTGCTAATTCTAAAAATACCTCTAATTAACAAACAAACATTTAAAAAGCCACATTAAAAATCCTACCAGGTTCTCCTAAAGTAGCACCACCTTGCAAAATCTCAGTTCAGATGTTTATTTACTATAAAGACAGTCTAATTCGGTTGTTTAAAAAAGAAGCCTGGTTGTCCTTAAGTTGCTTTCATTATCAAAAGACATGTGAAATACATTGTAAAAAAAAAAAAAAAAAAGAGGACGGGGTTTTGATAAATTTTCTTGAATCATTTTCTACTCTCTAGCCACAGAAGGCCACTGATGGAAAGCTAAGGTATAGCTAGTCTAGGAAAGAATGGCAGTATGGAAAACTAGCAGCAGCCTTCATCACTTAAAAAAAAAAAGATGTGGATCTGATGCCCCAGTGCCACCTGACAGTCTGTTGCTCCTTGTTTTCAGGCGTGGTGTATCACTACAATGAAGAGGGCATCCACAGAGCTGAAAGGGGATGGGAGCAGTGCATTAGTATCCCACTAGTACAGCCAGACATGTTTGGGCTTCTTCAGCAGTGGGACCAGCTCCTCAAGGAGTTTTCTGTGGGAGAGGCCTGGCTTCCTCACAGGTACGTAGTTCAAAAGCTGGATGCAACAGGAGGTTTTAGTCTGGGATGCTAAATTGGGCTGTTTTGTTTTGGACCCTGTGAGGCCTGTGGTTCATTTGGAGCCTCGCTCCTCAGCACACACGTTTCTAACAAACTAGTCTGAACCACGCTGTCAGGCTGTCTTGAAACCTACTGGCCTTGCTGAACAGAAAGAGAGTATTTTTAAGTTGTAAGTAACAAACTCATCTGCTGGAATGTAAAAGCTCTAAAATAAGAGATCATTTTAGGGAAGGTTTCTTCAGCATCAAAAGAATTTTGTGAAAAGAACAGTTCAATAAAAGATTACCTTTGAAAGTATGCTGCTGAGTACAAAAGTAGAAAAGTCCAGGCACAATTCCGTAATCACTTCTAGGTTTCAACAGTTTTAGGCGTATTTGTATTTACACACTGACCATGCCGACAGGATTCTTGCCCAGACCATACATCCAGATGACTTCTTTGTTGTTGATCAGAAATGGGAAACAGGGTCAGGCTCATTTCCAGCTCTTCCAGCTGGTCTGTAACATTGCTTAGAAATACATAAAGACTTCCATGTATTTTGAATTAAACCAGCATGTTCCAACGAGAACGTTCAGTTCTTCGTAGCTTTCCTTGAAGTTAAGGCCCGACGACAGCATTACAAGTGGGCAGCCCAGCTAGAACATGCTCTGCCACATCACCAGCTGGCTGGTGGCAGAGCAGCCTGCTCTCCAGGAAAACACCAGGCCTTGAGCTGCTCACCAGGAACCGTACACGTAACAAACAGCCTGCTGAAGCACAGTGCAGTGACGTCTAAGTTAATGAACGTAGATGTCATCTTATATGAAAGAAAAACCCCATCAAATCAAAAGGTTTTAGCAATTCTGTATGTGCTTGACTATAAAATTTCAGAGATAGTTTAGTATCTCCCTAACACCAGGAGATGAAAGAATTTAACCTAGAATGGAATTTTCAAATGTCTATGGAACTTGTAAAGCTGACAGGATTTGTGTCTCCCTGATAGTCTGGCAGTTCCCAGTGCCATCTCCAGTGGCTACTCCACCTACCCAGTAAATGCTTCCATACTTGCAGTACTGGCACAGATTGTTGCCAATGGCAGTTCTACTGGCACACCGTATAGCAACTGTTATCAGCCTAATTGTGATAGGGTTTACTTGGGTTTAAGTGCGCTGCCAAGTCAGTGCCACACCGACAGAAGTGCAGGTGGTGGCACACGATGAACGTTGCTGCTGCAGGAAGAAGTTTTCAAGATAACACAGTAACAATACATGGAAGAGCAAAGGTTAACAAGGTAGAAGCCAAAGAAGTATAAAAAAAAATTCATGACTGTAAAGTCTGCAGCCTTCTTTTCTGTTTGTTTGGCAGTTTTTTGTTGGGTTTTTTTTTTTGTTCCCCATGCTCGCAGTTTCTAGTATCCCCGGCTGGTAAGTACAACCTGCAATGAATCAAATATATTTAAGTACCAGTATTAAAGGAAGGTGGCAATAGTTCTTGGAGAGCATGCACTTCCTTATTTCACGTAGTAAAAGGTTCCTGTGTGCACAGTAACTAACAGATTAGTGCTAACTCTTACTAATGAGATGCTTTCCCTAGGTACCAAGAACATGACCACAACTGCTACACATTTGCACTGGCATTCATTAACAGCGTACTGACCGCACAAGGAAAACGGCAAATGACTAAAAGTGAATTTACAGAGATGTTTGTGATCCCACAGATGAAGAAAGCTTCTAAATACATTACTCTGCATCGGGAGCTAACAGCTAACGAGTTCTATATTGCACCCCTTCCTGAACAACAGAAACAGCACTGAAAATAACAAGTTGCTCTATTAAAACATCTACAATGTGCAACGGGAACAGGCAGTCATAAGACCTCGAATCTCAGGGTTTGCGGTACATGATCTACTTAATGTATTTAAAAACACTATTAACTTTACACACTAAGCTGGATCTCCTGGAAGGATCAAGAAACTGAACTTGTGCATTTGAATGAAGTAACATACATACCATGTACACACTACAGAAAATTTCTATGGGAACTACTCACATGGAAAAATGTTTTCCTATTTACGTTCACTATGTCCTCTTTTCTGCCAAGACATCTCATACTAGAAGTCATAACTGCTGTGTAATCAAGGGTTTTAACAGAGGAACTGTGGCCACCTAAGCTGTAACAAACCAAAATGTTTTTTTCCTGTCACATTTGTTTACCGATGAGTGAAAAAAAAGGGAATTTGTGCTTGTGTGCTGCTGAAATCCAGAGTCTATGACATAATGCAGATTCACCACATACATTATTTTCCTTTACTTTAATTACTAATAATTCTAACAAATAAATCCAGCCTTTTTCCCCAAAACATTTCTTTTCCAATTCTTCTTTACATTTTGCACATTTACTCTTCAAACCAAGACAGATGCTTAGTATTAAAAAATGGTAATTTAGTGTCTGTATCTGTTAATACCTGTAATAAGCAAAAGACTCCTCAGGATTTATCTTGGGGTTAAAACTTTAGAACTTAACAAGAAGAAATATAAGTTAAAAGAAATTAAAAAGATCCTCCAAACAGCACTTTTACCTATGGTGCATTACACAGAAGTGTATGCTGAGGTCAAAATTCTGCAGTCCACAATTTTATGCAATTTCACTTTATTTAATTACATTCTAGTTTAAGAAAATTCCGCTTTTTTTCCCTGCAAAGCAAGCTGGCTTTAGTCTAGATGTAGGTCCTATTTTCTCAAAGATGGAGCAGTAATCATAAATGATTTGGGGTTTGTCCACACCTAGCTTACACTTCTGAATGCATAAGCTGCATTAACTCTGCCCCCTCAATGCTCTCTGGCTGCACACACCACGCTTCACACACTCCCCCCACCCATGTTCTTCCACCTGTCACTAAATTCTAAGTTATGGCTCCTTTAAAAGCATACTCAAAACCCACTTCAGAGACAAACAGCTTGAAATGCACCATTGGGCTGCTGTGAGAGACCTGCTGCCTGCCTGCCTGCTCCCAGTGTGGGTCAGCTCTCTTCAGCTAGGATGTGACTCACTAACACAAGTGCTGAGATTCTGAGTGAATCAGAATCCACACTTAAATGAAGTACTGCATTTTAATTGGTAAACAAATACCATGGCAAGTATCAGTGCTATGGTACAACTGTCTAATACAAGTTATTTGATACAACAGTCCTGAAACACGAAGTACAGTCATCTGCAGCTAGAAACTGAACACCTTGCCTTGCACAATCAACAGATGCCTACCTGTTCCGCTTGAAAATCTTAATTGCATAATAGCTTTTTCATTTTACATCTTTACAGTAGAAGTCATATTAAATGAAAGCAAAGACTAGAAGATCTTCCACTTTGAGTTGCATATCGTTTCCTGCGTTCATGGCATGGCTTTACAATCTCAACCGCCTAAGTGAACAAGACTGTGGGGTTTGTGTCTGGTGGGAACAGTCCCAGTTGACAGAATTTTTACCAGCCCTGGAAAATGCCCTGCGACCAGGAGGCAAACCCGCTTTTACAGTGAATGAAAACAGCACAGAGAAAACCCAGAACTGTCATTGTCACCAGCTGTAATGTATCCTGACAGTTGTAGTGGATGTGTTCTCTCACAGTGTGGGGGGGATAAAAATCTTAACAGCTCGGTGAAGCAACAAAGCCCATTGTTCAAACATTAAGATGGAATTCAAATGCCTGAATCTAAAGCAGCAGTACTTACAATGCAGTGTAGTTGATGCTTAAACCTCCCAGCTCTACTTTACAGACAGCTGAATGCCTGCTGGGTTGGTTGGCTGGTTTGTTTTCCAAACGTGGCTTAGCAATGGTAACCATCATATTTAGGAACCTGCAATCTAGATGATGAAATCTTAACAAGAAACTTAGAAAATAGCAGGCACTGAACTGCTCAGCGCTGTCCTACACCTCACTCCATACAAAACACAGCAGCGTCTCCCTGTCTGTTTTACAACATATGATAGGCCAGAGCAGAGAGAGCTATGAGTGCACTATGAAAAATAAATGTATAGTCTGCTGTAGCTGCCAGATAAAAGAGAAGAACGCAGTGATGAAACTGAGACCTATACTTGCCAAGCCAGAGAGACCAACTGCCTCTCACTAGCTCAGCAAATCTTCATTATTTTCTGCACAGTAACCCATTTTCAACAAAAGTAAAGCTACTAACCAGTGGTCAGGGCATCTTGCTGTCATGGGGCACAATTAGGCCCTTGCTTTCACAGAGGAATCTTATGCTGCAAATCCCAAGGGAAGAAAGGCATCTTACTCAAATGGGGAAGGGTGCCTAACATCCAACTTTGCCGTTAGACCCCATAATTAATTTAAATCCTTGCACATTCTGGGAAGAGTTCCTCAATTCTGAGCAGTGCTTGTGAAAATAAGCCACTAAATTCCAGGGTCTAGGCACCTAACAGCAACGTGTTACAATGCTCAGTGCTGCAGCAACCAAATCTCTCCACAAATCCGAGTTTCTGCAACTTCATCAGGCTGTGAAATCAGGTCTCGTTGAAGAAGAATGGTACCACAGGTATCCCCCACAGGTTATTTGACTCGCTGTAATCACTGTAAACTCGAGGACTACCTCGTTTAAGTCCTCATTTCTGAAGAAATGTAGGACCCTGTGCTGCACTACAGAATGAAGTTAGCCTTCCAGTTCCCAAGTTCAACTCTGAAGAACCTGTGAGGTATTCCCAGAAAATGGTTTGATCACTCATTGCTTCAGCTGTCAGGCAGGCACTCGGTTTTGGACTTCAGTGGCTCTGCAGGCTCTAGTGCCTATTCAGCACTAATGCCTGGATCTGTCAGAATATTAAAAATACCGTGACTAATCACTGCAGTCTACCCCCACTCAAACATACACAGCTGTTAAGTTTTAAAGATTTAAACAAGTATTTTGAGTTGGGACACAGCTTTAATTTTTTCCCCTTCATATGCATTATTATAGTTCAGTTATGTTTTTCAATACAACATTCTCTCCAGTAAACAGGATATACCTAATTTTAAATAGCATTTATACATACCAACTGAATATCTTGATAGAAACTGTTCTGAGGCAATGGTTCATCATGATCAGGTAAACAACAAGAGGTGGTTTTAAAAAAATAAGTTTTTCCTATACAGTCAGTTAAAGTTCATCTTGCTCACTACGCTCACGGGAAGAAACCCAACGAGTTACAATCAGTTCCTGAAATAAAACACAGCAATTACTATGGACAGAGAAAAAAAAAAAGCTACAGATAATCAGTGAGGGATGGGGACTAAGCCTTTATCAAACTGACATCCATTATGTGACCATTGAGAAATTTTAGTAGATGACTCCATGCGTTCCTGAAGCAAGCTGGTCTCTCACACATTTTTCTCCCTTCATTTTCAAACATACGTGAACCTTACAGTCTCTATAGGCATCCCATTTCTCCGTGCAAACACTTACGTTCACAGTAGCAGCAACGTTAAAATTTAGACTAGAAGATCTGAAGTCTTTAGAGAGCCTGCAATGCACTTCTCTTGCCTTGGGGCACCAAGGAATCTAGTTATTTTATTGCAGCTCTGCGTGTAAAACCAACACATACTAAGAGCGAGCATCACCACCTCCAGGGGGCTCTGACACCTAGCTGTCCAGCTGCCGTGAGGCAAAGCTACACAGGCAAAGGAGAGAAGTAATACTCACCTGCACCTTTATTCTTTTCATACATTCTGGTGTCGACATCTCTTTTTCAGTCATGTCAGATGGTCTAATCAAATAGCATAACATAAGTTCCTGTTGGTAAACAGAAAACATGAATACGTGAAGTTCAACCGATTTCCTTCTATACAAGTTTTAGATTAATTAGAAACACAGATACCAAGTTTCCTGCAAAATGTCTTCAGGAAACCAAGTTGGGGAGAGCTGTGTAACAGGTGTAACTCATTTTCCTTATCAAAGCATAATACTGCTACAAGATAAACTAGAATCAGAACATCACACCTGAGCACGATGGCTGTGAGCACGGAAGCACTATGTCTGAGGCTCTATGACAAGAGAAGATCTTTCAGAAACTTTCAGTTTCACTGTTCAACAGAAAATCCTGGTAGATGGAGAGGACTTAAAAACAAGTGGCAAGCAAGAAAGAAGTGTCACGTGAGTCTCTGCTGTTCGTCATGCAACGTTTAACGTTCCTACAGGTGACAGAAGTTTAATAAGCTTCTTCCAGAATTCATCTGGACACTGACAAAGGGAACTCCTGTTTGCCCGCAGCCAACTAGAAACACAAGGGTTCTCTTTCCAGCCTCACTCCAACTCCCTGTTCTTTGGAACTAAAGTGTACATTTATCATCGTAAAGCTGTTTTAAAACTAGCATCTTACGCTTACCTTAGAAGCATTAACAGTTGTTCTGTTCAACCCAGACAAGGACTTCCAGCTGAGTGGTCTGCGAAGAGAACCTTCAAAATTATCATCAACTAATTCAGCAATGACAGAGTAACTGGAAAACAAAGCAAATCGGACAATTCACATAAGGAAAATTACCATTTTAGGAAGATCATGAAACTCTAGAATTAGAGCCTAAAAACTGGCATTAAACAATACGCCACCACGCAGTAAGCAAGTTGTGAAACTGAAGTCTCTTTCTACTAGGAAAAGAGGAGAAAAGATGAAGTTGTGAGTATGCTCACTGGCACTTTCCCTCCCCACTCTTCTGCTGACGTTTGTAGCGTTCTCTTATGAATGCCAATCTGACATTTATCACCAATTTACTATCTATATTTACAGCTAATGAATAAAGACAACTATCATCCCTTTAAAGATTTTACTCCCA